TGGGTGGAGTTCGCCGATGAGGGGTCAGTGAGTCAGGCACTGTGCCTGGATGGAGAGGTGGGGCAGTTGCCGAGACAACCACCTGAGTTGGCATGCGACGAGTTGTTCAACCGATGAGCAGTGATTGTCAACAATACTGAATATATGGCAGTGGTCACAGAATGTTTCTGTTGTGCATGCTTATTGCTGGAGGGTAGTACCTCCTGGTACGTAACCGTGGCAGGCATGCGATTGTGCATTTCATATTGGCTGGTCTGTTAGCACATTGTTGATGGCAAAGTAGTTATGTCTACCATTGTCATTTTGCCCAAAGGAAACAATCATTTCATGCTGTAACTGGTGGTTGGGACTCCTGCAGAGTGAGCTTCAGTGTCACTTAGTGCTGAAAGAGGTTGTTGTAGCAGACTGTATCATCCCTTTTCGTACCCCTTTTCGTGCTTGGCTTTTTCGTATAAGATAGATAGCAGTTGTTTCTTCATGTTTTGCTGGTGTTTCTATGTTGCAGACTTTTGGGTCCTGTGTTTTGAAGATCTCCAGGTCTCGGACTGCCATCCACACAAATGGTCTTGAGAGGCCAGACCAGGTAGGCGCTGACTGACACACTGCATGCAGAGCCTAGTTTGTTGAGCACAAGAGCTACTCTATATAAAGTATATAAAAAGTGTGTATGAAGTAGGCAATGAGTATAATTGTTGAGGATTGAATGTGGCCTTTGGTTTTGCCATGGCATGCCTCCCTCACACTCGACTGGTAGTCTATGATGGTGGCCATTGTGAGTTGCACTGCTGCTTGGCAAGGGGAAATGGCGGCTGTCGTGCTTTCCCATCTTGCACTGTGGGCCTTCCGGCCAACATCTTGCCATTTCCCACTTGCCTCTTGGCCACAACTGCACAGCTGTCCATCCCTGCTCAGTGGCATCATTGCAGTTTTCCTGCCCAAAAGAATGCCACTGCATATGAACAGCACATCAGATCCTGCAGAATGCCTAGTGCCTAGTGCCTAAACCAACAGAACCAACTAAACGAAACAACACTGGACACTTGTTTGCACAATGCCTTGGGTGTGGTTTGAGACTCACATGCTTGCCCTTCCCCCACACAATTCGGACATACCCCAGCAGTGCCCTGCACATCTTGCAACACCAAATGTTAGCAGCCTTCTTCCACTCACCCCATACATTTCAGTCCATCGTCTTGGTGGTGCTCCTGGGCAGTGGAGCTGCAGAAAGATAAGAACTGCCTCAGGAAAAGTGTCCAGCGAGCTGACGTTGCAGCAACGATAGCAGCTATCGGGATGTGATGATGGAATTCCATTGATTGCGTGGCAGCCACCGAGGGCTATGTCGCCACCCAACCTTACAAGCACAGTATGTCCACTGTTTGTCCCAGTGCTCGTCTCACTCGTGTACCGACTATCCGCCTCTGCATTGAGGCATACCAAGCTGATGGGCTGTGGCCTGCAGGATGTCCCCCCGCCTGGAACCACCCGCTACGGAGACGACCCAGTGCCTAGCTACCAGAGCACACACTTCCTGGACAGCGGCCCCGGGGACAAGGTGTCCCTGGGCGTGCGCAAGAGAGACCCCAGCGAGGATGGGCGCAGCCCGGACAGGGACGCAAGGAACTACAAGAGGCCGAGGGGGGAGGCCATTGGCTTGGAGTCTTCGAGTTAGGCCCCACCGCCCTGCCGAACGGCAGATGCCAGTTTCGCTCCGCTCTGGATTCTTTGAACAGCAGCATTTTGAGAGTGTGCAATTTTGCCGGTGGTGGTGCAGGGGGTGGGTTTGGGCGTTTGGGGGTGGGTGGGCATTGAAACGTGGACGACAAGGGGGCAGCGGCTGTCGATCCACGGCAGCGTGATGTGAGACGTGTTGGGATGCTTGCTGTGGTCGGACTTTTCTGCCTTGGCACGATCAGATGTGGCGGCTGTGCTGATCATTTTTTTGTAGGCATGGCCCAAAACTGCCGCAGCATTGCGTCAGGGACGTTGGGTGCAATCTGAGCAGCAAAGTCAAGAGCTGGCTTACCCCCAGCCTATCGAGTTCCTTCTCTTGATCCCGTAGCCATCGCCACTCAGACTGAGACTCGGGGAGAAATGGAAAAGAGATGTACTACAAAGTACGAAGACATGTACCATTTCAACATTTTGCCATCAAAGTCTTTGCCCACAGTCGCCAGTCACACTGTGGAAGCCATGAGAGGCCTGACATTCAGAACCCTGATGAGGATCCCCATCGTGGGTTACTTTGTCCCACAGTCACGTTCAAGCTCCTGGAACTTTTGCCCAGTTGGGAACCGCGCTGGTGGCCGTGGGCGCGAGCAGCACGCCGCCACTCGAGCAACAGCACAGGGCGCTGGGAAATTAATCTTTACAGTGTCCCCCTTCGCATAACAAAAGGAAGAATCAGATATGAATCAAATTTTCGGGCGACGTCCTCCCACTTCGTCCGCTCGCTACAAGCCTATCTTGCAGCCATTTCCACGGCCGCTGGCCCAGCTGCTGCCGCGCAGCCCTTTGTTCTCTGGGCGGCTTCGACGCCAGAGCGTTATCCGCTGGGATGGGCGCGGAGCACCATGATCGGTGCCGGCCCCTCCCAGGGTCCGCTAGGTGCCCTGTGCTCGCACACCATCAGAGCAGTGGGTGGTCCGATCTCCGGCCCACGACGCGATTCTGCTGGCCCTCGCATGCCGTCCGACTGTCACAAGCCATTACCAACCCTCGTTGGCCGGGTGCGCAGCAACTGCGGCCAGCGGGGCGCCGTGCAACCAAACAAATTGTAGGCACGCAGCGCAGCCAATTCGCATCGACGCCCCTCCCCTTCCAACTCGACAACACGCCACGGAGGCGTCCAGGACCCCATGGGCCCCAAGTTCCCACGGGAAAAAGTCAGACAGGCTGGCAGACGTCTCCTAATTCTGTCACTCGTCCAGCAGTTCGATCGGCTCCTGGCCAGGATGCCTGCCACCCCACTGGGGAGCAGTCACCCCTGTTCCAAAGGGGCCAACATCGTCATAGTCAGGGACGTAGTCAAGCGACGGGCTGTCTGCCGTCACCCCGTTTGCAGCATTCAGCTCCTCCAGCCCCTCCAGCACCACGTGCATCGCGCTCTCGGGCACAAGAACCCCCACCAGACGCTGGCTGCTGTTGGTCATCTGCAGCCGGCGAACTTGCAGCAGCTTGTCATGCTCCCGGTGCTGCATCCCAAGGGCCCGGTCGATCACGCCCCATATGGGCAGGATGACGCCCGCCAGGATGTTGAGCTGCTTGACGCGGAACTTCTGCCGGCCTGCCGCGTTGTACACGTCATCCCACAGCTCCTGCGCCATCTCCTCGTCCTCCATGGGGATGTACCTGTTGCAGCGCAGTGACGGTATCAAGTGGCCGAGCGCAAGTGCGCAGCGTTGTGCAGGAAGAAGGCCGCAGGCGGCGGGAACATTCTCAACACTGCTGTTGTGCTGCATCTGTTATGGACACCATCAGGGGCGAATGGCACAGTAATGTGGACAGAAAAACTGCGTGCTGGCTTGGCTGCAGCTAATTAGGCCCCCCAAAAGATGGGTACGCAACACAGGGACAAACACAGCGAGAGGGCTTGGCGAAAGCACAGATGCAGCCCATGAGCACCGTGGCACAGGTTTTCGAAGTTTGGGTGGGTGGCAGGAATTCGTTGCCATAGTGCAGGCTTCAAGATTCGACTTTCAACCAGCATCAGGGCGATCCAATAATCGGACAAGATGCACCAAGGCCAGTCTCACGAAGGCACAAGCCAGTTCGCACATAACCATCCCAGAATGAACTTTGCATGCACAACACATTTTCACCCAAATTGTAACATCATTGCATCAGACATCCTCAACCGCCTGAGTCGCAACAAAAAGTGCAACATTCACAAATCGTTCAATGATGCCTCTGCCTTAGCAAATGATGAAATTCGGGAGTTTGACGGGGTGAAGTTCAAAACGTCACCTCTGCTTCAACTCTGAGGACTTCCACGGCTTAGATGCTGCTCCGGTGAGTGGGCGGATCATTTTGAACCTTGGCAGGCTGCTGTCTGGGTCATACAGAGCCAAAACCATGTGGAGGCCCCTGTGGGCACCGGGTTTGTTGCGGTAGAAGCCACTTCGGCCTGCAGCATGCTCAACTGGTGAACTCATTCTGCAACAGAAGCTGGGTGGGGAGGTGAATGCAATGCCATGAGATCACAGAGGGCCTGCTTCAAATACGCCAGACATCTGTTCTGTGAATCCAGGAGCAGAAAACAGAAAAGCAGCCAATGTGCATAAACATAGCCCAAGATTCTCCACAATCCAAGGTATGGCTATTTGAAGCATGAATGGATCCAGTTAGATTTAAACATGGGTGCACAAATGCTGGTGTCTGTTGCTACTTCTTGGAGGAAAAAAATGTGCACAGGCACCGCCACATTGAATGCTGCTTGGAGAACAAGATGTACACAGGCACAGCCGCATTGAATGCAGCGCAATCAACAGAATCCTTTTTCTTTCCAGCAAGCCTTGATGACAGGCCCTGCCAATGCCAAGGGCACAAGACCCCGAGTTCGATCAAAGCAGAACGCCTTGCAGCCATAGAAGAAAAGACCCGACAGAATCCAACCTTGGAGCCCAACAAAACAACAGATCAGCCAACGATGAACGAAAACAACGAGGAAAAAACGAAAAACAAGAAAAAAGCATCAAGGAGAACAACAGCCGCACCATCGTCAGCGCCGCCGACAGCCTTCAGGTGCTCCTTCAGCATCTTCACCGCATCCATCCAGCTCACCCCGCGGTCCTGGTGAACCTGGTAGTGCAACGTGCGCCCGCCGGATAGCCTGTCCACAAACACAGTCTGCGGGGGTCCCTGCATCTCCAGCCTTGTGCCCTGCACGTCGACGATGCCCGTGTCGTAGCGGCCCTCCTTCTTTGCCCTGCTTATGGTGGCGTCCAGGTGCTCCTGGTACCAGCCAAAGAGGTCGCACTGCAGCGTGGGCACCATCCCCAGGAGGCGGTTGAGGAAGTGCGGCACGTTGTTGCGCTCGCCATCTGGGATTGATCCAATCGCAGGGTCGGGGTCTGCGAATCGACAGGCATGGGTCAAAGAGGCAGAGAGGAAGATTGCTTGCATATGGTGTTATGACAAAAGTGTGCATGTCACCGTCCATGCTAACCTACAATACATGACGCAAAGGAATGTATCATGGCCGCGTCCAGTGCCGCCCATGAGAGGCACAGAGGGCAGAAATCTTGGAGACGTGGGGATGTGGCTTGGCAAACTGGCAGCAAGGAAGTCGGCAGCAGTTTGGGGTATGCACTCGCATGCAAAGGTGTTTCTTGCGGCACAAGACAAAAGGCAGTCGGGGGCACTCGTCTTGATTCTTGAGGACTGGAACAGTGCAGGGTGCACCCATGGTGGACAACCTTGTGTTGACCACCTTGTGCCACAGTTAGACTGCTATTCTTGGTAAGCTGCGTTTGTCTTTGAAAATATTCGCCACACAAGTTGATGCTCAGAATATTGTTTCGCTTGTGTTTGCAATTGCATTACCCTCTTTTCCATACATAGGCGGAAGGTAAATGAAGTGATGCATTTCCCCAACTGCCGAGCAGGTACACACAAGCTCAACATAGCTGGACCGCTGTGTGTCTGCTTCTTTCGCAGTGGCTGCCCCACTCACAGGCCAGGAGACTGTGTACGCATATGTAGTGAAAATGCATTCCCCTGCCAAAGCTGTCACCAGGCCCTCTTGAACCTTCCCCACAACCCGCCCACAATCAGCACAGCCTCTTCTGCCAGGAGGCGATGCACGTGAGACTGGCCTCATTCCATAGAACTTTCGTCACAGGACCTGCCAGGCTGTGGACACGTGGGAGTTTTCCACCACAAGGCCCAGCCACAGGGCAGTTTGCAGGGAGCATACCCAAGATATGATCTTCAACAACAACTCACCCACTGCCACGCCCCAATGGCCAGCTGGGCAAAAGGGGCCCGCCTTGTCGTGTTGTGACAAGCATGTGACCAATGGAGTTGTATTCTGCCCCCAAACAGAATGCATTCTCAGATCTTGGAGCCCCACGCCGCAACGAAAATATCCTTGAGAGGCAATTTCGAGAGTGCTCAACCACACACACCTCCGCCCCACCCTCCCAAGCACTCACCTATGAGATCTAGTGCTATGTCCCTCAGCATTAGGGCAGGTTGCTCGTTATGCCTGGGCTTCGGCTTGATGATTCCGACACTGAAGAGGTGGCGACGCATTTCTGTCCTGAAGCGCTCCAGGTTAGCGTACTTGGCATTGGGTTCCCCCATGTTTGATGCCACACACGAAGGGGCCACAATGGGTGTGCACTCCTCCATAAGCCCCATGTACATCGTGTTCAGGGCCCTTCGCCCCCATGTGCTGTCATAGTTGAAGTCACACATTTCTGCATGGACAGAATGATGACCGTCACACAAAGGATCGTGAGGCAACAATGGTGCGGACAGGGTGCGTGATTCACCCATACACCTTCCAGTGCAAACCATGCCTACACGTGATTTTCCACAGCTTGGCAGACGCAAGAGTAGCACCACATCATGAATGTAATCATGGTGCAGCCAGGGGAAGAGTATAAAGTTTGAGGCAGTGAGCTCCTTCATGCAGTCTGTTTCTAGCCTGTGGACAATTGAGAACAGACGAATGCAGCGGCAACAGAACATTAGGCAAGCCCCAGTCTTTTTGTGTTGTTCTGTTTCCTTTTGTGTTCTTTTGCAATCTCCTTTTTGTAGTGCCTTGTGTGTTGTTTGTGTTTTGATAGTTTGTGTCCCATGTGTTTGCCGCGTGACTCCAGGGTACAGGTTTTGGGCAGGAAGCTCTAGAAATGCATAAAACACACGACAGTGATTGTTACTCAATTTCCAAGGGAAAACCACGTGCTGTGGTCACCAGCACTGGCCAGAAACCACTTGACCTCCCCCGTGGAGGAACAGTTCACTCCTGAGCAATGCTCCAGCACATCATTGGCTTACTTTTCTCACTGGTCCAACACAAGAATGAATCTGTGAATGTCTCAAACTACCAGCAACAAACAGCAAACAGCGTTTGCAAGCTTTGTCTCTCCTTTTCACTCATCAGCTTGATGCATGGAACGTCAGGCAGGTTCCGCAGGCCCAAGAGCAGGACAGATACTCCTTTTTATGCCTTTTTGCCCCTTAAGGGGGATTTCTGGGCTGGGCAGACAAGTTCACAACACATCGAATGGTGACATACTGATACTATGTGCTGATAAACGAAACTATGAGCCCCAAAGCTGACAACTTTTCTGCCAGGACTGGATGGCCATCTGGACAATCAAAGTGAGGCAAGATTTTGAAACGACAATCCAACAGCGAAAATTCCCCTTAGCCATGACAACAATGCTCCACACAGCAGACGCACCAAATGAGACCCCAGCTCTGCGATCTCCCTGTGTCAGCGCCCCCAAGCTCAACAGCCTTCGAGCCACCGAAGCCACAAACCTCTTCTCCCCACCAAGGGACGTGAACAACAGTTTGTACTCTGGGCAGCTGACTTGATTGGAACGGTGAGACCGCCCAAACTGCTGGATTGCCTTCTCAGCACTCCATGGCAGCTCCAGGGTCAAGTGCACCCTTCGGAGTTGATTCTCACAGCGCCTGGCAATCACAGCGCGCCAAGAGGTGTAAGCAGCTACCACTGCAGGTCACCAACTACTTCCAACAAACAAAGATCAAGGCCACGTTCTGCACAAGGGGGACCAGGCCTCCCGCTGGAAAGTCGCTTTGCTGCCCTCAAAACGATCAAAGCTGCAGTAAAATACTCAATCCTTCCGCATAGCAACATAGTGCTTGGCCATTTTTTGCAGAGAAGATTCAACAAATAGTAGTGCAATGCTTGGCCCTTTGCTGTGGAGCAACCTACAAAAAACGTACAAATAGCGCACAAACATGCATCCCAACACATGTCATCTTGGTAAGCGTCCTGTCTCTGACTTCACTTGTCGCACCTGTCAGCCTGCAGGGATATCCCAGCCGAAGCCGCATCCGAGATTATGGCCACCAACTTCTTGCCACTCATGAAAGCCTTCTGCTCTGCAATGTTGACATTTTCCAGCGACTCTCCCAGCTCTGCCCCACGGGACTGGTATGTCACCTTGCCCTTTCGCTCTCCCTCTTTGTTGCGCGTCAGGCGGCATTTCCTGCCCGTCATCTCAGCGACTTTTGTGGGCCCGCCCAACTGGTCTATCAACTCGTCCAAGGGGTTTACAGGCAGGTCGATGCGCTCAACATTTTCCAGCACCTGGGCAAGTCCAAAACCAAGAGCTAATCTTCGAAACGCATCCTTTGGTTGAGGGACCGGTTAGTCAGTGATGGGCATCGGGCACTCCACAGTGTGCGTTTCATTATTTCCTTCCTTTCCCCTCAGAGAATCGAGGAACAAGAAGCACAACATAAACTTGTATGCTGTATCAATCAGTTACAAGGCATGTTTGTCTGCTCCCTAAACTGTTTCCCCCTTAACAAAGCACAATCACCACAAACTGTTGATTGATCAGGGACAACTGCCATCAACCCCTCCTTCAGTCGTGGAAACAGGCAATGACAAAGATGCACTGACACCAGCAAACTGAATAACAATTTCCTTGAGTGGACATCACATGTCCTGAGCTCACAGCACTGAGCACTACTGTGCCAATTCGCCACTTGCAACTTCACACAAATCAGCACATTGACTACAGCCAGGGAGGCATTGGGCTACTGCAGTACCTTTCTTCTTCGCTCCATGGCCTCTGCATACATGTCATCTTGGGGCACAGGCTTCGGTCGAGGAGGTGGCTGGGGTGGTTGGCATCCAGTTGAGCATGCGCCAGGTTTCCGACCTCGCTCATCTTCAATGTCAATTTCGATCACCTCGTCACCACTGCCAGCAGTGGTTTGAGATCGGGCATTGTTGAGGACAGTTGTGGCCTTGCTGCTGGATGGTTTTAACCCTGCAAAAACATGAGGGCCATCACTCTACAGCACAACAATTCACTGCCAGTGCATCACCAAAGCCATCCCCAACTCGCTGTGTTGAGTGCAGCATGAAACAGGGCAGATGAGGATGGCCCTTTGGACACAGCGACTGCCACCAAAGAGTCTCAACCTGACACTATCTGCACCACAGCCTTCAATAATACCAACAGATCGCCTTCCTCATCAGCCCCGTTATTCTGTAAAAGATATGAACCTGCCCCTTGATGCAGATGCACGCTGATGAGGATGATCGAACTCCAATATCACACAACATGTGTCAGGGGCAGCGAATTTTTTAAACTTGCAAAATGTGCCCGATGAGGATGTGCACTGCAACAAACTGGCCAGCAGGACATTTGAGCACTAGGAATACTTGCCTTCAGCCCCAGTTTCTGGTGACGATGAAGATCTGTTGTTCTGCGGTTCCTCAGAGGTTGTTGACTCTTCCCCACTGGGGACCTCCTTTCCTGCTTGTAATCTGTTGGGCACTCCCCCATCTGCTTGACCGCCATTGCCCAGTTCTCTGCCTGTTAGCCGATTTCTCTGCTGGGTGGATTTCTCGTCCGAGGTTGTGCCATCACCAGATGGCGAAACTGACTCATCAGCACCATTTGCGTCCTTGTCAGTCTTTTTAGGCCATCGCACCTTTGCCTCCTTATCGCCCCTTGTGCTGCCTTCATCGCTGCTGGAGTTTATGCTGCTCATCGCCACGTTGCACTGTGTGGCAATCTCCTGCAGCCCAACATCATTGCTTGCAGTTAACTGACAGTGCAGCTAAGCTCCCCCACAAATTGAAATGAAATGCTCCTAGCCGCCGAGGAACAGCACTGGAAGAATCAAGAAATCATTTGCAACAATGAACATTCACCAAAAAGTGCAGATTCCAAGTTTTGGTTTCATGCAATGATGTAGACAAAGTGATGTGCCCATGGTTGATGCAAAGCATATCAATCGATCGACGCTCCCCCTTCTTTCAGCAAAATATTGGCAAACAGCTGCACGTTGGACCAGCAGCCCAGCTCACCTCCTCCTCAAACTCCTCAAGAGCAATTTCTTCCACTTCAGGTAGTGGATAGTGGTTCTCTATGAACTTTAGCAGTGTCTCCTTCATGCCTTCAAAGCAAACACGAAGTGACAGTCAGACATACAGCCAGCGCCATCCTGGACTATGTCAGCACATCAAGGAGAGCAAATAGGGGCAGAGGGAAGTTTAAAGTCTAGGGTAGAAAGGAACATTGGAAATATTCTGAGCAGTACTGGAAGCAATACTTCGCAGTACCGAAACTTGCAAAGGAGACCTTGGCTGGCCACATCTGTGGAGAGAGCTGGGGCTGCATTGAAAGTGGGATAAAAAAACGTATTGTCTGTGTGCAATACCTTCGACCTGGCAAGCACCCGCACCGTTTGCACTGATATGATCAGAACAGAATTCTTGGTCACAGTGAGTTGACTATCCACCTGCAACTTGCGAATGGACAAGACTGTCGTCCTTTCAAATTGCCCTTGACGAGACAAAGTGTTTAAAATATAGTGCATTTTGAGTTGACAAGCCAGCCAGCTTCCTGCAGATATACACACTTGAGAATGCTTGCAACAACTTGCGCTGCCGGATTCATCGAAACAATGGACTGCGCAGTGGGGCGCCGTTCTGGATGTCTGCTGCCTCACTCAATAGCCACAGCCACAAGGTGACCCGCAGTCTCTCACACAAATAATAAATAATGCAAATAATACAACTACATGCAAAATAGAGGTAGCATGCTGAGTTTGGGCGCGAGAGTAGGCAAAGTTGCAAGTTGATGTTGAGCAACACGCCTTGTCAATAAATTGCATTCAAAGAGTGCTATTTATTTTGATGCTTTCTTGGGGAAAAAGTGCCAGGTGTTACATTACTGTGCGGAAGGGTTCCCAACCTACAGCATTCCTTTTCCCAGCGCACCTGCAAAGTCCTCAAGCTCGGTACCCCGCTCGTTGACAACGTCTGTTGTGCGAGCTTCCCCCGTTGACTGGAGACCGATGATGACGCACTTGCCCTCCTTCAGCGCCTTTTTAGCCAGTCGAACTGTTGCCGGCACCTTTGCTGCCATGCACAAGCTCTTGAAGAACCTCTGGTGGGCACCCCAAAAGAGGGACCAGCTGAACTTCTTGCTCTTATCCTCCATTGTTGGGTACTGGTAACGGTGGACAGCATACAAGAACTCCTTGTACAGTCCACTAACCAATTCGCATGCCCTGGAATCACAACAAAAGAGCAACATGAGAAACAGTGACTGCACTATTTACAAACTTGACTTCGCGTGTCAATCTATTGTTGATCAGCACTCAAAACACAGCATGGGCAATCTGACCAACTGCTGTGAACCTTGGTCCGATACAGGACAGTGACAGAGAAGCCATGGCGATTTGCAACGTGCCGTAGTCCCACATGCTAATGAGGCAGTGGCCGCCAATTTCGTCTTCCGCCATCCAAGGAAGGATTAAGTCACTGACATAAGCACATACTAGGACAAAACCATTGCAGGGTGTACACCACTTTTGTTGTGGCAGTGCCCTTTTGGAAGACAGCAAACTTCCACACGTGAGGCTGGCCAGATTGCTGGCCTGACGCAACCCAGGTGCAACAGCCAGCGCCCAATATTATGTGCACACTCTTCCAAGAACAGCATTTGTGCCAGTGTAACTTGCTCAGCCCAGGAGAACCTAGAATTTGGCTGCAGGTGGGTATGCCACATCACACTGTTAACAACTTGACAGAAACACCTGAAGCTCTTTTGCTGAATCTGTGAGTCGAACAGATGACTTGCACAAACTACACGCACTGATAGCTACTGTTCCCCTCTTTTTGAAACACCCCAATAACATAAATGAGAAGCCCCAGATGAGCCTCCCCACTGCAAACTTCCCAGCAACCCAGTCGTCCTGGTTTACTGGATAAGGGCAGGCATCACAACATTCAAATATCCCTTTTTGAGGAGGGAAAACTAGGCAGCATCCCCATGCACTCTAGATGCCATGAATGTTTGTCAAGTGACTACCTGTGGCACAGCAGCTTAGTCACAGGGTGCACAAAATACTGCTTGCACTGAGTCGTCAACACTTTCAGCTGCAACCCACAGCACCAAAGGGCTGCACAGGCAACCTGTGTTCCATATTTCTGGCGGCTCACTTCTTGTACACCAACTTCATCTCCTCCTCCAGTTCAATCTCACAGGTCTCAAACTCCGCGTGAGCAAAGCTCAGGGTGCGGCACAGGTACATGCCTCTTGACTTCATGTCCATTGCCACCAGCTCAAGGGCACCCACGCCTCGAGAGCCCACAGCCCTCACAAAAGATGGGAAATCTGGAAAGGAGGGAGACGCTGGGCCCCAGAGACCAAGGCGGACCATGTAACCCATGTTCTTCAGTTCAGAAGCCCCTTGAAGCAAATGGGCACAGTCGCAATGTCAGACAAATGAGCCCCTGACTTGCACAGGTAGATTCCCCTTCTGTTCTCAATTCACCACAGTATAGCCATATCAGCAAGCATGCAATGCGCATGCTTGTACGGCATAGAACAGTGCAATTCGCAGAACTTGCATGTTGTCATTGTTGCTTCCAATCAACAACACTAGTACTACTGTACTAACTGCCTCAATACCATTGTTATCAAAGTTAATGTCAGTGTTTGGCTATATGGGCACACTTGGCATCCACTGGTATTTATTGAAAAAATGTTCCTGTGTTTGTTTGGAAACAGCGCGATGACTGGGCTTCCTGTTAACTATTTGATCATGGCACTTCACTATCCTGTGGATATGGCCTGCTGCTGCGAACATTGTCTCCAGGATGCCGTGAAGCCCTTAGCAACACAGCCTCCTTCCTGAAGGAGGGCTCATTGTGCTGGTTGGTGAGCACCAAGCACACAGAAGGACAGCGTTTTGGTCTCGCAGTGCATCGAGCAATGACTCTCCAAGACAGTAAAGACACAGGCCACAAGATGAGCATTCCCCTCAACGGCTGGAAAATGCAACGGTTTTGTTCGTTGCATCCTTTCAACACATGCAATCAATGGAATGCAGATAGGCATCGCACATATGCAGATCACATATGGCGATGAACATTTAAAAACGATCGGCACTTGGTGCCACTACAGAGCTGCACATCTTGCACTCCCAAAAGAGCCCGCCTGAGACCACATTTCACAACATCCTTCTGTGCCAGAACGGAGGACGTGATACACTTGCTGTATCTCTGCAAAAGCACACTTGTCAACACCATTACCACTGCAAAGCAGTCAAGAGGTGCTACATGTACAAAGAGAGTACAAAACATGCATTGCCCTACTAGGAAAGCGACCAGCCACCCTGTGCAAGTTTCGTGTCAAACCTGTTGCACTGCAGTACACAACACGCCCATCAGGCAGGTCCTGTTGCAGCTTCAAGACAGCTTTGCCTGTCTTTGTCGACCTTTCCATCAGTTTTGGCACCAAATTCTTCGCCTTGTGACACTCATCAAAAACGATCAGCCCATCGAAATCCTCTCCACACCAGTCCAGGAGCTGCTTCAATCGAGTGCGGCCCTGAAAGCAAAGGCAACCAACCCATCTGGGATCAGCGCATGTTACCTGGGGCCCCATGCCTTGTGCTCACTGTGAGGCGGCAAGGCACTATGGTTAGGAGATGCTGCACAGGGCACCAGCAAGCCGACCTCATCACTGTGGGGCAACACTACAACATGTGGGCCTTGCTACCTGTTCATACTAATACATATTACATATGCTAATACGTATACTAATACATACATATGTCGATGCATATACTAACACATACTAACACATATATTGCTACATTTTGATACTAGTCAT